TAATCATTTCTACGAATCATTGCAAGTATCCATAAGTAGTGATCGCATTTCAATAAGAACTACTTTTATATTTGTATCAGCGAGGGTCAACTTTAGGAAGTTTTTCTCGCAGAACTAAATTTATTACTATAACAGATAGTATCGGTATAATTTTCTTGATTATTAAAAAAAAGGGGGGGGATATGATTCTCAATACTTCTTCCAGCGATTTTCCTGTTCAAATCTACGTCTCGTGCAATGGGTATGCTCTAATTGTGTAAACATATTTGACTGGAATTGATATATGTTGACTTTTAACGATCCATCTTTTGATACTTACATTTGGCTTGGTCATGCAGGGCCGCTTCTGGATTGTTGGCTGCTCAAGGGCAAAAACAATAATGCCGCCTTTATTAATTTCATATTATTTAAATAAGAATTTGATACGAAGTGTTTACTATTATATGTTTACATATGAGGATTCTTTATTTTTGTATTCAAGTAATGTTACAAGATTTCTTAAAACGTTCAACTCTCGAATAAAATTCGTGAAGATTATCGAAGTTCACTGATATTTGGAGAAAAAGAGAGTGAACGTATTTGTAGATCTAAAGGGGCAGTCGTTGCCTCGTAAGGAGGTAACTATCTCATTCGTTCTTATTCCTTCTATCGTAGAATCTCTGGTAAGTTCGCCGGTCTCGTGCGCGACTGTTGACTTTATCATCCCCTAATCGCATAGCTGCTCGGGGTATCGCGTGAGACATTAATGCAATATCCTCTGACTGGATAACCCAATGGATCTGCTAACATTTGCCCACTTCACTTCGAAGAAAACCGGAATTGCTATGTTCACGGATTTACTTCTGAATGTAACGCGAGCTTCCAGCTTGCTGCTATCAGCTCGTTATTCTTCCTTAATCAATGCCTTGTAGGTAAATCGTACACACTTCTCTGAGATATTTCCTCTTCCTAGAGAGTTATTTCGAGAAAGTAGCATTACGCACCGAATAATTTGTGCAATTTTTGTTCGGAAATTAGAATTGACAATGTACAGATTACAGTCGTACTTCGATAGGTACCTAATCGATTACATTTAAAGAAATGTTCGATTTGACAAGAAATCATTCGGTCAACTCATTTATAAATAACTGATTGTGTTCGTCAATCGTAATAAAGTTTAATAAACAAAGTTATAAATGACACTGCATTGGTAATGATTTTGCTTGTATCTATGTCGTCATAAAAGCATCAAATATATAGATAATGTTTCAAATAGTTAGACAATTGTATTCAACTTACGATCGCATTAACTGATTGATAAAAAATTGATTGTTCGTTTGTAATACGAGTAGCGTTTAATATTTGTAATAATTTTATAACTAATTGCACAATTATACGGGGTGTTCTTTTTAAGATTCCTTTTTTTTAACTCGAGTAACTTTCTTATTTTTTAACCAGTATTGATACATTTTTAAATATACCGTACTGATGTCATGGGTTTTTTTTCTGAAAAAAATCACATTTTAAAAATGAACATTTTGCCGTCACAATGTCAGATTATTTTTAGTGATACATTAGTAGATCGGAATTCCACGAGGAATCGAATGAGCTTACAATTATTCCGCTAAGATCATTTTGAACACAATTATAAAGCAAGATGTCTCACCACAAAAAAACATATCTTCCTTTGAAACTTATCCATTTGCATTTTGAATTACTCATTCTCCAGTAAAAAATCTTAATTGTTGAAGAAAAAAATCTTATGACGTCAATATATTGTATTTAAGATTTCTTCAAAATTGGTTATGAAATAAAGAATTTCTTCAGATCACTTTGCACCCCTTGCTCTCTTGTAGGCATCGCTTATTCGAATGAGTCTAAAGTATGCCTACGAATTCTGTCATTTCAATGCGTCATTTTAACAACTGGAGTTCCAATACGTCCGATCGCGTTGCCCTCCATTTTTCAGTTATCGCGATCGATGTTCGACTCGGTAGCACCAATCAGCAGCCGACTACCTAATTCGTCTTGCGATTTTTTCTTTTTTCTCCCCTACATATGTATCAGTTGACGAGCGGCGAGAAGGATCCGGCGATCGAAGATAGACTCCCGATCGATGCTTAGATACTCGGCAAAATCGGTGCTACCATCGCCGATCCACCAGCCAGTCAGGACGGTCAAGAATCTCGTCGACCCTGACGAGCGGAAAATAAAAAGTTTCGACGTCAGGCCAATCGATAGGTTCGAAAGGGCGTGGCTGCTCGCTTCCCTGTCGATGGCTGACACGTAAACTTCCAGCTTGGAGTTCTATGGTGGTCCAGAAGCTGTCCGACGAGCTTCTGGAATTTGACGTTCCTCTGTTCCAGTTTCATCTCCGATATCACACGAGTAAAAAATTCTCACCGTGTAGGTTTTATGAATGTTGCGTACGTCCCGTGGATTAGGTCAGATAAAACTCGGAAATCTATCAAATTCGACGACGAAAGAATCGTTTAAACCGAGTCGTTTTAATTTTTTCATAAAATTTATTTACTTGAAATTCTCTTGGATTCAATAATTCCAGAGTTCCATGGAAGCTGCTTTTTAATCGAGGAATGGTCGACCAATTAACTTTTGTGAAATTCCAGCAGATGAACCGCGCTTATGATGCATGTTAATATTCTTCATCTACAATTCTGAATATTAAGGATTTGAATTTAGATTAACTATTCTCGGACAAAAGGTTAAAAGTGAAGAAGAGTCGGGTATATGGAACACGCGTCCTCGTTAGAAAATTTGACACCATATTATATCTGGTTGCACAGTCGCACATGAAAAAGAGTTACGAATGTAATAGGCGTGTTTTTCGAGGGAATATGCTCGTACATTTCAGGACGCAGTTTTACATTAAACGTGTCTACATGTGGGTATGTCACATAGGCGAATGCACAAAATAACATGTAAAGATTCATAACGCGAAACGATTATAGCGTCTAACTACGCGTCGTTTTTAAATTCTCTTTGTTAGCCGGACATTTGCAACAGTAATTAACATGATGTCTCTTTACCGCTTGTTCCCGTCGAGGAAAATCCGATCTTTATCAGGAATTACGCTTGTCGCATTTAAACGCAGTCCCGTAACCGGAATTCACCGTTAATCCCGCAAGTATCTAAACTATGATAAACGAGATAGGAAATTCGTGCCGACGTTCGATAACAAGTCGGCGGAATTTATCATCATCATTAGAGATTGTAAAAGTCACTAGGAATATCGAGTAAAAGAGTCATGTAGTTTTTTTGCACTATCGATACTTCCTCTCGCAATAGATATCGAATGGATAAAAGATTCAGGAATCGTTCGATGCTTTTTGATTAAGTTTTGATTAGGGATTGAACATTTGATCTATCATCAGGAAATTGAAAGTAGCTTCTTCAGAAGAATCGTTCACTTATATAAGTTCAAGACCACGTAATAAAAATGATGACATTCTCAAAAGTTAACATAGTAGAAGGTATTGTACCGTGTGTACCCTCGACGGTCAAATTTGTAACTCCTCCAATGACAAATTTTTTAATTATTAATACTTGTGAACGATGCAAGTCATCCGAACATTGTAGAATATTTATTAAAATATAATTTTTCAGTAACATTGCCTGCGTAAAAGATAAGCTTACCAACCTTGGGATTACCCTTTCTGTCGTAGTAATAAATTTCACATGTCTTCAAAGCAAACCTAACATGTTTCACCGTGTTCAACGTAACGCCTTTAATCTATGATGTTTATCTCCCCTGGCAAAATTCTAACGTTTCGTAGTAAAATTCCGAACGTGAATTTCCGATCACTGTCGCAACACCCACGACGATAAATTCACGGAGGATTACTCACTCAAGGTGGATTAAAATGAAACATGTCTTCTTGCATTACAAGGCCGTGGTATTTAGAGATGGCCAGGAGACGTTAACCCAATGACGGCAGAACGGCCCCACCACAATCGTCCCGTCATCATCGGCATTTTTTAGCGAAGGCCCGTCGTCATTACGTGCCGGTTTCGGGCGTCACATTACCGGTCATTATAAAGCGATCAAAGGGTCGGGAATCGTTCTTGTGGGATTCGAAGGCAAACCGTCCCATTACCCTCTATGGGCATTACCGAAAGCTTCCAAAGAAAACCATCTTTCGAGAATCTCGACCGCAGCTCCTTGACATTAACACGTAAGTGGGGAAAAAATCACTCTCGTATTTGTACTTACTTGCCATTAATTCTTGCTCATCTTCGTGTGCAACCACAGGAAGCTGACATTCCGCTCGTTGATGTTTATTGAAACGTAGAATATCCTTATTTTCTCGAAAAGAAAAATCTTTTTATGCCATAAAGATGTCCATGAAGGTAATTTAAAAAGTGTACACCCAAGTATCTAAGTGCACTGATTACTTTTGCAAGGTAGATGAAAATCTATTCAAAATAACATTGAATACCGCGGGAATAATCTCAGATAATAGGTTCCTCTATGTTTGTCTCTATGATTATCACATTGAGAGAAAAAGTTGATTCAATTAAAGAAATATGCATTGCGAAAATAAAATCCTGGGATCAAATACGTCCAAAGAAATGTCAGATTGAGTAAACAGAATTATGTTAAATCAAGTACAATTAGTTTAAATTAACATCAATTTTTTTTCTGAACAAAATAATTATTTCTTGCAATCATATATGATGCGGGTAACAATATATATTTGTTTCAATCAACTAATCCTTTTTCCTTGGTGCAACTCGCTTGTTATTTTTAAATAATTTCACGTAATTAAGAAAATGTTACTGCTATTTCACGTTTGACATTTAAAAATGAAAATTGGCAGGAATAAATGGAAGGAATATCCTGCAATTGAAAGAAACGTTAAATGTCACTATATAAAAGCAAACATTAAATGACTGCATTTAAGCGCAGTGGATATTATTGCGTTGGTTCAAGAAGATAGGTATATTGGGGCGGATAATTGGAAATGCTACCTGTGCATTCAGTACAAGAGTTTATTGGGTTTATTTACAAGGGAGTAGCTCGCTCAGCGGTAGATATGCGTACTCACGACACAAGCGTTAACAATATAACGTGCTACCCTAATACTAATCACCGCGCATCGATAACGATGGACATCGGTCGATCGTGGAAGCAGTACGCGATCAGCTGTCACGAAATTATATAAACAGTGACACGTCAACACCCAGTACAGACTCTCAATAACAATGTATTCGACATCTCTGCCTTTGCCAATTTTAAAAACCCGGTTGAAAAGCTTTCATTAAAATTCCCGAGGGAATCCCCTGCTACGTACATTCCGCCATTTTGCCCGAATTATCGAGAGCCTCTACTGCGATTTGGCACCTTAATATTTTCCAAATATTCCTCAGCCTCCCATTGCCTCTTACCGTGATGCACCTTTACACTCCAAATAAATACTTAAAAATACAGATATTTAACAATTTCTCGTTTCGGTCACATACTTTGGTAACAGGGGGAGAAAGTGTTTCCTGCTAACGTAAATGATCTTTTCCCGAGGGAGGCCTGAAAACGTGCCACGTAATTCTTAGTGAAACAACCATCACTGGGAGAAGTTTTTACTCCACCCTCGGTAGGTTGTGGTTCCGACCCGAGCCTATCGCGCACCCCCTCCACGAAAGCCAACGCGGAGCGGTTTAAACATAAATAACGATAACAGTAAAGTGGTGATACGAAATATACAGCTGTATGTTACAGAAGTGGAGGCCAGAGATTACCCATTGATCGTATGTACAGTGGCATACTCGACAACTTCACAACGTAATTGGTTCCCACCGCAATCGTGCGTTTGCGCTCTCCGTGCCGTGAACGAACGTGTCTCACGAATGTCTCACGCATGTAGCTGCAGACATTCTTACAGGATCGAGGGAGTCCATTGAAAGTCTCACGGTTACATATTTACACTCGGCGCATTATTGGGCATATTAATCGCAGAGTTTGATCGCGTTTTCAGCAAAGACACACCCTCGCCATTCAACGTTTTTCCACTTCTCGCTCAATATTATGAAACGGGAAAAACATTGCAAGGTAGTGCGCAGGGCAGCCGTATTATCGACGCATGTAACCATTAACGATTACATTAATTAGCGAGAGGCGCACGATGCGCCCTTCCGTACCGAAAATCGATGATATCGTATCGAGTACATTTTTTGCTGCAACAAATCCGACAATACGGAGGGATGTTCGCGACACTAAGGGATGTTTTAATCTGGCAATTAAGGGCGAAGATACTTCGAGACCCGCGTGTCTTCGGTCCGTGCACTCGTTTTACTACGGTCATGTACCTTGAAGAAGGGAAACAATTAGTCAAGATCCTACCGCCGCTAAAAAGAGTGAAGTTTGCTAGGGCCACTGAGATCTGTCTCCCTTCAGACCCTTCGAAATACCCAGATGCGGATTCGCCTTTCGTTGAAACTTAATTTCGTTTCTACTTCCGTTAAAGAGACGGAATTTCCTCGAACGTGTTCAAGTAGAATTTAAGAAGCCTGTCTTTCCAAGTCTCATTTTTTCTCTTTCGGAACTCGTTACCGACGAGGTACGTGTAGGTATATCGTTAGATCCGGAATGTTTAAAAACAAGGGTGTTCACTGTAAACAATCATTAACGAACGATATACTTTCACGCTTTGTGCAATTCTATCTTAAGGCAGTATCCTGTCAGTGTGCATATACAGTACTAAATAAGTCAAGGTAATAAAATATTTTTCATCATTTTCTATAAATGTGTGAGTTTGAGAATTGTAATTCTATTTTACAAATTGCTACTAACGTTTGCAAATGTACACTCCAATTTATTCGGAATATTCGTGAATAATTGTTTACAGCATCCCTTGGCAAATAATTGAATCAAGTACGGGTGTACAGATGTGTCATAGAATTGGATCATAGCGTTCGGCAGATATTCACAAGTTCGGAGTTTCTTGGCAAGGTTTAACTAACACAGAGATCACGACCAAATTGTGCAAATCATTTTTGCATTATCGTTTACCTGGGCAAATGCCAAAAAAGTCCTGTGATACGGGAAAGTGTGTCAAAACGACAGCCTTTGTCCCTGTAAATTTGAGGTACAGGGTTCCAAATTATTCTTGCAAATATGATTTCTTATAAAGACCTACTTCATTAATTCAAAATTCCTATTGCAATGAAATGTTCAAAAATCTAAAATGTTCAGAACTTGCACACGATCCACACTTGTTCCATAAAAATAAGCACTCCTAATTCCGATCCATAACTCAATCCGGAAACGTGAAACGATGCTTCTCGTTATCCCGAATTAACGATCAATACTTGATACAACAAATCTGCATAAAGAAAAAACAACATTGCATTTTCACGGTAACCAAACCGTACCACCAAACCGTATTCGAGTTCTTGGTTGCCGATCTCGATAGACCGTCCGCTCCATGACCTGATACAAGTTATTCGGATCCGTAGGACACCCATCCAAACCGTTCCAATTCCAATCCACGTCCTCCTAATTTTGATATCCTCTGACATGGAATGATCCCAAATTTTCCTAGGCCAACGTCTACGGGGCAAAATAAGCATCCTTCCAAAACGACTCTTTGATACCATCTCGTTCGAGTCTCTTCGCCACTTCGAAAGCCAGCCGCGTCTCGTTTCTACGTATAGTCCAGGCCCGTACCGCCGACCAAGAGTCGGCCGCCGCGCCGAGGTGCCCTCAACACGTCGACGTGTTCCCGCGAGAGCGCAACGACGAAACCGAGGTGGGGAGATCCGGGGGCTAACGGCGGCCGCGCCCCTCGGCGCTCCGCGCGCAGGTCGCCGGGGAGTGGGCTACCCTCGCGGGTGGAGGCGGCGGCGACTACGAGGGCGAGAGGTCCTGAGCCTCCTTGTAGAGACTGTCCGTCGGCGAGGGGGTGGCCCGCCGCGAGGGCGAGGGGGAGGACGAGGGCGCCCCGGGGGTGGAGCGCTTGGTGGTCGTCGAGGTGTGGTACGGGGAGAATCGATGATGGGAAGAGAGGGCGAGCGCGGAGGGGTAAAGAGCTCGCGGTGCTGCCGGCCCCGAGCGACTCTGCCGCGCTCCCGAGGCGGCCAATTGCTGCTGCTGCTGCTGTTGTTGCTGCTGGTGATGGTGGTGCGCCGCCGCGAAGAGCGTGGGTCCCAGCGAGGAAGCCCACCACAGGTGGCCGAGCTGCTGCTGCTGCTGCTGCTGCTGGTGTTGCTGCTGTTGGTGGTGGCTGGTGCCCGCCGCGGCCGCCGCCGCCGCCGCCATGGTCGATGCGCCCGGGTACACGAGGGCTGGACTAACCAGCTGGGTGTAGGGTCCCATCGCGGCCGCAGCTGCGGCCCTCAGGAGGATCTGCGAGCGCGATGCCCACAGCGCCTTCTCCTCCAAGCTCAGGTTGCTCGCTCCGCCCGCCTGGAGCTGCTCCATCTCGAAGGGAAATCGATGGGGAAACCTCAGGGACTGCTGCTCCGCCAGCATGGACTCCATCGTCTCCCTGCAAGGGAAACTACTCCATTATGTTTTGTCTTCTAGGCTCGGAGCGGGAGATCGGGCTACTCGGGTGGTCCCTGCTCTCCCTTGGCGGACGCTTTCGCCGAAATCCGACGTTTCCTTTCTCGAGGAACCGAGTGCGCCCCACGGTGGGACTGGTTCTCGACGAGGCCGCGACGTTCCGTCGATCGGGACTCTTTGAGTAAGGTCGGAAAAGACGGATCGGTTCTAACGAACGGGGGTACATGGTATTGAAATGAAGGGCGATTCAGTTTTCTTTGATTTACTTGAAAAAAAAAAAGATTTCAAACGGTCCGTTAACTCTCACGTAACGGGGCGATCCAAGAGTCACCCGACTTTTTTGGAATCTGTTCTCAGCGTCATTTCGTTTTATTCTGTCATGGATGACGTAAATCTGCTTAATGTCTTTCGTGATAGGTAACCCATTACCCTACAATGTGTGTTCAGATTCACCTGACATAATAAAGTAGAACACCGCAATGATGATAGCGTGACGTAGCTCTTTATTATACGATTCATCTGTTTTAAAACAGGGGGTAAAATTGGATCTCAAGAATCTGTCGTACAAGACGAATTGCACTGTCGTACGCGATAAAACTGTCAAATCGCGTGTAAAATCAATTTTCCAAATCAAATATTATGCTTCATTTGGAAGTCGCCCAAAATCAAAAGATATCGGACACTATATGTTCCCAAAGATGTGCACGGGAAAGGACGACAATTAGAAAAATAGATTAGTTCCCTTATAAATTCTGTATAATTAGTTATCCAGAAGTAAGACTTGTCAAAGCTGTAATCACATTCTTATAACGTGGATCTGCATTATTACCACAAATAGTGACCACTCTCCCATAAAACTCTCGTAAATGCATTAAGTACTTATTTTTACGATACGAAGGTTTATTACGATAATAAGTGTTACAGTCATTTACGAGTCGCAGCATGTACTACGTTCTTCCGGATGATTCAATCTACATTTTTATCACGAGCTTGGCAAGGACGGCTAGGATTTCCAAGCATTTTTCTTATACATGATTTCTTTGCTTCTCACATAATTAATCACGACTAATGAGTCTATAAATGATCCGAGCTTGACCTCGTAAGCAGACTTAACTATTTATATCTGCCGTAGAGTCGATACACGCGTCATTGTAATTCATATTGTTGAGCATAACGCGAAGAGTGACACGCGTGACATTTCACTCGAGTTCAATACGCGCAATTGTAACGCGAATGATACATATCATGACACGGAGATACCGTTAAAAGAGGTCTTTCAGAGAAAAAGAAAACCGATATTAACCCAGAAGATCCAACAGCTTTGACAAGCATTTAATACAAAGAAAATTGTTAATAATTATTTACACCCATTCTCAAGGAGCAGTTTTTTAGGTCGATAGAAGAATCTCGGACTGACGTTGAAAATAAACGTTACACACAAAGTTACTCGTCTAATCAAGGGAGAGCTATAAATCGTTGATTAACTCACCTTTCGAAGTCCGTGAGCCGCGAGGAATCTCGAAAGCCTTTGGCGAACGGATTACTGTCGATCTTTAGTTTAGTTATCTGAAACAAGGACGACGGAGCTTTTAGCTGGCGGAAGAGATCGTTTAATCCTCACTCTTTAAGAGCGACCACCGCAGATTTCCCGATCTTGTTCCCGAAGCTGCTACCGTTCCCGAGGTGGCCGACGCCGTCGAAACCCGGCACCGCATCCGACCAACATCTTAAACATTAATGGCCCGTGTCGGGAAACGGCAGGCAGTTCCGAAAGGTTTTGTACCACTGATCGAAAGTCAACGATTCGTAAAGCCAACTACCGGGGACACCGGATACTTAATTTACAGCTCCGGTGGCAGTAGAACAAAATGCCATGCTAAATTGAAGGGAACACCGCTGTAACAGATTTTTCGTAAATCTTATTAATTGTAAACAAAAAATGATCATTTTTAGCGAGAGCGATTCCACTTCTACAACGGTAGGCCAAATTGTACAGAAAAGATATGCCATGAAAGTTATAATTATTAGAAAAATGACAATACCTTGTGAACTGTCGAGTGCACGTATGCACGTGTTATTACAAATATTTCAGTATTTTTACGACCATCCTTCGGAGCAATACTTTTTTTGTATAGACGACATGTTTTTTGAGAAATGACGAGCGGGTACATAGGTATGGCTCGAGGTTCGAAGATTTATGAAGTCTTTTGTAGGCGACTCTCTTTTTAGCAATTCGTTGCTAGGAGGTTTACGATGACTTTCTGCTTCCGTTCTGCCTTTCTCCCATTTCACCGATACAATTGTAGGTTTTTTCCTGTGCCGTTAACACGCCTTGTAAGTCATAAATCTGATATTTAGTGCTTTCCAGTTTAACTCGGACGGTGACCAAGAGACCCTAACAAGACGACCCTTGAATTGGTCACGGACCAGAACACCTTGAATGCATCAGTTTTCACTTGGCCATCCTTGTAACTTAAGACGTACACTTTCTAAATGTTGTTTCGATTCGGCTGTCGTGTCTTTATTTACCCTACTTCACGTATTCAAACATTATGTAATTTATAGGTATACAAAAAAATTAACACTTTACTAGTTTTCAATTTAAGAGATTCAACTCTGAATCCGATATTTCGGCTGTGAAATATTATCGTAAATTTTTAATTTTTTTTCATGGAGTTTAATATTTATTAAATCAGTCCCTTTATATAAAGCATGGTTAAAGGACACTTTTATTACTTCCAAAAATTCGATGAGAGTCTTCTTGCCAAGTCAACGTATTTGTACAAACTGAAATCAATTATTTCTTGTCATCGATCCTTGTATTAGTTATTTTATTAAAATTTCACCTCCTTTCTGACAACTCACCGCGGAAGAACTTTTGCAATATTGACGAGAACGAGTCACTAAATTTTATTAAAAAGATATATTTTAAATGTCGCTCAGAGAAGAAACACGTTCCAACCCATGTAGCCCTAAGTATTTCAGTTATAAATTTAGTAGTAAAAACACATATCCAGAGAACTCATTTCAACTTATTCCCTTTTTAAATACAAATATTAAATATACGCAAAGAAATTTAATGTATAAAAAGTTAAGAGGAAAAAAAAGTTTGGGTACAATCTTAGAAGCGCTTTTTCTAAAGGCCCAGCCAACAAGGGTCCCAGTAGAGGGAAACGAGAGGGGCATTTTCTCCGTCCGATCGCTGTCAAGAGATCCCGACTCGTAGAGTCTTTCCTGTCTGGCATTGGGTGTTTCGCATTACAGTCCGGACCACCCACAACGCGAACGATGTACAGGTGGCCTCGGTCAAAAGCCTAGGACATGCCCGACCCCGACGGTCGCTTTGCAAATTTCGGGAGAAAAAAAAAAGGGACCCTCCGGTGGTCCTTCCGATCTTAGGAAGCTTAGACTCCCCGTAGCTTGGGATGTCCGGATATAAAAAAAATGTTGGACCAACATTTTCGTGTCGACACCGATACAACAAAGCGAGGGAAGGAAATGCGGACAAACGTCCGCTTTGAAGAACGACAATACGATTTTGTACTTACAACGGGATGATCCCATGGTACTTTACCGAGAGATGCCGTTCTTCGCGGCTAAGAAATTATGGATTAATTACGATAAAAGACTGAGGTATCGGCTATTCGAAGGTAATCGGTACACCATGTCCTGAATGTAGACGCTAAACAACAATGCCTCGCCTTTCCATTTCGTTTTTCCAACGTGATAATAATTTCTATTGAAATTTTAAGAATCAGCGCCCCATAATTTCTCGGCCGGCAAGTTTCAGCCGTCAATTTCAAAGTCGGACAGCTAGAGCCGTTATATCAGCAGAAATATGTCATAACTAGTGCACCGGAACAGGATCATAACATTAGACGCGATAAAAAAGTGAGGAGCGCGGCGCGCTCGCTCATACGGATTGAATTATGCCCGTGTTATTCCAACTTGTTGACGCATACCCACGTTATCAAACTCTCCAGACGTTTCCGCGTCCAACAAGGATACGCGTTACACGCGAACACGTGGGCCCGGTTATACCCAACTGGAAGCTGCTCGAAGCCCCGCGACCATCACCCAGGTGCAAAAAGAGCCCAGCAAGCCGCGTTCGCCGAGACGAGGGGCTATCTCGGTCGGACTGCAGGAGTCCCTCGTCGAGGCAACCCATCCCGGTTAATCCCATCGGCGGCGATCCTCCTCGGAAGCGATCCCGGTTCGCGGTCCATCGCGCAAATTGGCCTCCTCGCGGCTCGGTCGGACAAGAGATAGCCAGGGGTATCCGGGCGCGAGGGGATCGCGCGATTAGGGTATTTTTACGGCCGCGGGAGGGTATCCATCCCTGGAGCGCTCGTGCCCCTTCGGGAGCCTAAGTGGACATTCCAAACGTGTCAGTCGTCCCGCCCCCGCCCGCCACTTCGGGGGATCCGCTCGCCCTCCCCGGGAGTTTATTTATTCGGTAAGAGGATCGTCGCTCGTCCGGTCTCGCCCTGGGCTCCGGCCCTCTCCCGAAGGAAACCGGGAACCCGGGAAGGCGGAAAGGAAGGAACGAGGGGAAACGGCGGGGCGTCAAGTGGGTGGTCCAATTACCCCTCGGTTTCGCGCTCACGAGCAGCGCGGGCAGCACGTGCAGCGCGAGCTCGCCGCCGTAATAAGACTCTTTTCCTTCAAAGCCGAGCTCTCGACCCGACTCGGCCGCGAGGGCGGGCCCCGGTTTTAGTTACGATTCCGCTGACATCATTAGCCAGACATCTGGCCCACTTCCACGCCCGAATCACCCCGCCGCTTTACGATTATGCCCGTCTCGGACGGCCAGGACCGCTCTTTGATCGGCTACGAGGGTTCCGCCAAAAGGAGGAAATCCCCGAGGCCCGACTGCCGCCAAAGTCAAAGGGGCCCTGCCGAGTTACGACGTCGGTGACAATGTCGCGAGTCCCGGTGGACGCGGACGCTCCCGGCGCGTCTTCGTCGTCGAGGAGCTCGTCGCGTCGTCGCCGGGGAACGAGATCGGAAGGAGCTGGGGCGAGGTGCGACCGATGGAGAGGATTCTTGGGCTAACGAATTTATTTTTCGACCGGTCGAATGTTGCCAGAGATTAAATACGAAAAATATACCGTGCCGGCACTTTTTTACCTTGGAGTGGCTGCTTTTAATGGCGTTTAAGAAAGGAACATACACGGGTTTGATATTTCGGTCCCCGCGAATTACGCGATCTCCCTCGGACGTTTTCGTAGAACAGAGGAGAAGAGATAGACATTTAAACGTCACCGCGCTTTAGTTAAGATGGGTGAACACGGAACTTGTACCGAATGTAGAATAATGGAAGTACGTCCTTATTTTGGATCGCTTCAAAAACATGCGCGGAAATTTCTCGATTTAAATGTATGTACATGCTCTAAATATATTAAGATTATATGAAAGGCATTGAGAAATTTAATCGACGTCGATAAAATAAAATCCATCTACACCCTTTTTGGTGGTAATGTCATTCCGAACACTTAAGTGAGAACATAAGCTGGCGCGTCGCGTTGCCGACATTTATATTTATGTTGAAGTCTTTTACAATCTACATTGAGAATTATACGAACTGAAGCGTTCCGTATGTCATTTCGGTAAAGTAATGATGAAGAGATCGACGTAAAACTGTCGAAATCCCGTGAATTCATTATTCTAACGACTGTTTAGAATCCACATTGCCATCTGTGACGTTTAGCGGCAACTAAATTTTTGTTCGAAAAGCACGTGTTAGCCCCGAGACGAGCCAGCATTCTCTTGCAATCGTTGGTGAAAGTATTTTCCATATTTTCCCATCTGACTATGTAATATTCCACTTCTACGGTATTCTAAATTCTTCGAGCTAGGTCCTGAAACTCTTTATTTTCGATTCTAAGCCTCCAAGAAGCGTAAAACATCGAAAACGTGCCCGAACCTCGCTATGTTAATTCTAGTCCATAACAAATAAATTTTGTATGAAAAATGAAATTTCATGAGTTTCAAGGCCTACTTTGGAGCCTCCATATTCCCGTGGTAAAATTTGAAACGAATCGGTACACCCAATTCGGAGAATATTTTCCTTAACGATTTGACTTCTCAGATATATATAGGCTGAGTTTTTCATATCCACCTTAACACTAGAACTACCAAGACTAGTCAAAATGCCTGGTGTCAAATGGTCCATCCTGTACAAAAAAAAAATCCGCCGGTAGTTCTAGTGATAACGCGTCCAAACGCGCGGCACCAAAGGACGAACCAACTCGCGCGAACGTCCACGAGTCCGACATTACCAGCAATCCTCGAGTTTTGTCCGCAGACCAAGAAGCGAGGTCCGTCGTTCCCATTCACGATTAGGCCGGGATTGCACGCCTAAGATTCCCCGGGCAAGAAAGCGCGGATAGCGGTATCCTCCGAGCGATTTCCTCCGATTTTCAATTACCGAACCCGCCGCCGTTTCTCCCAGGAGGATGCACAATGTATCCCGGGATAAAGGCGCGCGCAAGAGGATCAATTTTCCAATTAAGGCTTGGCCAAACTGCCGGCAATCTGGCGGCGAAACGACATGTCTATTAGGA